CAGAGCCTCAAGCTGTCCCCCTGGGTAGAGTGCTGTGGCATCACAGCTCACAGCAACCTCCAACTCCTGGGCTCAAGCAAGTCTCCTGCCTCAGCCTCCTAAGTAGCTGGGACCACAGGTGACCACCACAACACCCAGCTATTTTTTGGTTGCAGCCGTCATTGTTGTTTGGCAGGCCCGGGCTGGATTTGAACTCACCACCTTAGGTGTATGTGGCTGGCGCCTTAGCCACTTGAGCCACAGGTGCCAAGTCCAAGTGTGCTTTCGTAAATCTGTACAGTATACCGGGAATTTTTGTGCCTATTCATTCTACGGCTGACAGACCCTGGGCTGTTTCTAGTGTGTGGCTATGTGCATCCTCTTGGCCCTCTTAGTTGCCTGGTGTGCCGTGCCCTGCTCTCATTCGCTTGAGTCCGATGGTCCTGAAGGGGATGTCATCTGGTCTCATCATTCCAAGTGGGTGTTGGTTGCTGTGGGCTCCCTTTTCTCAGAATACCCGTTGATATTCTTTGCCCATTTTCTTGTCGAGTTGTTTGTGTTTCTGTAGTATTCTCTAGGAATTCTTTGTATATTCTAGATAACCAGTTATCAGCTCTGTGCATAGTAGGGGCCTGCTTTCAGCCTTTTTACTATTCTCCAGATGTTGTATACCTTTTCCATTATCATTTGTCCAGTTTTTTATCTCAAGAATTTCTTCTCTATCCTAACACCATAAAGATACTGTTGTCTTGTTTTACTTTGTCCCTTTGATCCATTTGTAATTGCTTGTCTGGGGTTTGAATGGGGCCCTCAGTGTCTGTGTGGGGCTCACCCCAGGGTGTGGAGGGGAATGTGGGAGGTCTGGGTTTGTAAGTGTTCAGTGTGGTGTGAAGGCAGGGGCATCTTGGTGGTGGCTTTGCCAGTGTGCTGCTCTTGCTGGCTGGCCTCTGGGGCTCATTTCTTTCTTGTCACAGATTGTCTTTGCCCCACCCACCCTCATTAGCTCTTGAGGCCCACCATGATCTGCACAGGCAGGTGTCTTGAATGGAGGCCTGAGGACCACCTGTGCTCAAAGCCTGCTGGGGCTAGGGTGCAGCCTGCCTGGCTGTAAAAAGCTATCACTGTGTTATGATCTGAGGGGCTGAGGCTGTGTGTGCACCCATCCCCCACTTGACATCCCAGCCTCCACCTGCTCATCTTGCATACTGTTCCCAGTTTCCATAGCAACACTGCTGCTGGGTAATGATTCTAGGGAGAAAGACATTCCTGCATTTTCAGTGTCACCTGAGTATCCCACCTTGTGCTTGTCATACTGCCCTGGGGAGACACCTCTACAGTGAAACCCTAAGGACAGCTTCTGGGTTTGCTTCCACTTAAGTACAGTGGTAGCTGGTAAATGTTCCAAAACAATACCCACTGATTTGGACCATTTGCCAATTTCCTTGGTGTAAATACTTCCACAATAGCCAATTTCAAGCCACTACTGTGATGTCACTGGATTTGTAGTTAGGAAGAGATGCATCTTAGAATGTTGCCACCTTCCAGACAGGTGACATGTCAATAGCCCCAAGAGCACAGATAAAGTAAAGTGAGTAAAATAATTAGAAAGAGATGAGGTTTGAGTATTTATTGCCTTTGTTAATTAACATCATTCAGTTAGTCATACATTTCTATAGTTAAAATATTGATAATGACAATGTTTATCGGCTGGCTCTCAGACTTCCCAGCTTACGCCTGGTCCAGTGATCACTATTGAAGGATTCAAGGCTGTTCCCCCATGGCCCTTTGTCTGTAGCTTTCATAAGGCCACACTCGGCTGCCTCTTCTATCTTTTCCATCCTGCCCTTTGAACTGCAGCCTCTCTGGGGAGCATAGCCCAGCCCAGCCCGTCACAACAGTGTGCTTATGTGCTCCTGTGCTCTTCCTCTAAATACCTTCTTGCCTGAAAGCTGTCACCAATTTTCTCTACCATGACAACCACAGATTACACAAATATTTACCTATGAGCAAAGTATAAAATTCTCCAAAGAATGTGTCTTTGCTACATTCTTTATTATAACAAAAAGTCATGACCTGGCCCAGTGGCTCACACCTGTAATCCTAGCACTAGGGGAGGCTGAGGTGGGTGGATACCCTGAGCTCAGGAGTTTGAGACCTGCCTGAGCAAGAGCAAGACCCCATCTCTAAAAAATAGCCTGGCGTTGTGGCAGATGCCTGTAATCCAAACAGTCACTGTTTGGAGGCTAAGGCAAGACACTCACATAAGCCTGAGAGTTTGAGGTTGCTGTGAGCTGTGACGCCACGGCATTCTACTAAGGGCAGCAAAATGAGACTCTACCTCAAAAAAAATAGTAATAATAAAAAACAACTTCAGTGATGTGACATAGTGTAGGGCCCAGACCAGCCTTAGGAGACCTGCAGTGTGAAGTAGCAAACGTAGAAAAAAAGACAAGGAAATAATGCCCACATGTTCATAGCATTGACTTCCCTGAGATTGTGGGCAATTTTGGTTTTCTACCTTATGGTGTTCTGTATTTTTCTTGTTCTTTTTTCTTTTCTTTTCTTTTTTTGAGACGGAGTCTCAAGCTGTTGCCCTGGGTAAAGTACCCTGGCATCACAGCACACAGCAACCTCAAACTCTTGGGCTTAAGCGATTCTCTTGCTTCAGCCTCCCAAGTAGCTGGGACTACAGGCGCCTGCCACAATGTGTGTCTATTTTTTGTTGCAGTTCTCATTGTTGTTTAGTAGGTCCAGGCCAGGTTCTAACCTGCCACCCTAGGTGCATGTGGCCAGCGCCCTGCCGACTGAGCTACAGGCACTGCCCAGTGTGTTCTGTATTTTTCCAGACATTCTATAATGAACCTCTGTTTCTTTTATAATCAGACAAAATTCATTTCAAGAAAAATCTCTTTTTAGAACATAAGTTTAGGGGAGAGGGGAGACAGAAAACTTAGGTGCTTATCTACAAGGATGTAATCAAATAGCAGCAGGGTGACTGTTTGGGTTAGAGAGGCTTGGAGATGCCAGGAACTTGCTGCCGAGGTTCCTGGTCTGCTGTACTGCTGGCACCAAAATGGGGCCTTAAGGCCTGATTAAGCATCTTTGTGAGAAAGCCTGGGAGGGAGGTGCCACTGTGAGGGAGAGGGGTGCTTGTAATACTGGGACAGCTCAGCAGGGCAGGGCACAGAGCCAGACTCTGTGCTTAGTTGCGGCCTTCTCCCTGTGTCCCATGTAGGCTCCCAGCTTGCTCCATCCCCAGGTAGAGTCTGGGTTTCCTCTCCATGACCAAGGGTTTCCCCACCACCTGCAAACCTTCCCCCACCTCTTTTCTTGGTCTCTCTCCCTTCACTTGAGGCAGGCCAACTACCGCCTGCTCAGGGAGCCGTCTCTCTCTCAGGTCTCTCTCAGCACTTCCCAGCTAGGCATAGCCACTTGAGTACACTGCTGATGTGTGGCCTACTCAGGCCTGGAACACAAATGGGGAGACACTGCAAGGTCCTCCGGAAGCACGTCCTGCTTCCCCCTTGCTGGCCCCATGACACGTACCCTGAATGTTAGTACCATGCAATTCTCCTCAGTCCTTTATTGTGTCTGCCATCTCTACTTGTCTTCTTTTCCCAAGGAGGACTTCAGGGTTACAATAGGCTGTTCTGGACCCAGTACACACTGGGTGCTGCAGAAATGGGGGCTGGGCCAGCTGGACCCACGGGTAACTGAAGGACACTCCCTGCTCCACCCAACTGGGGTTGTTTCCTCACCTCCCCAGCGTAGGAGGCCTCCTTTCTCCACACCTTCCATGAAGGTGGTGTACTGCAAGGCTACTCCAGTGCCACTGCTTCCTTGGGCCCATGAGGGCCTCCCCATCCCCCCATCCTCACCACTCTGCAATCAGTCTTGGCTCTCAACCTTGACTTAGTGCCTTCACCTTGCTAAGTTTCAATTTTCCCATCTGCAAAGTGAAGGAAATAATGGCATCTCCCTCAAGATTATTGGGGATTAGGATTTAATGGGGACCCATTTTAGGAGCCCTTCCAGAAACCTGGTACATAGCAGGTGCTCAAGAAATGGTGGTGGTTTTATAAGGGTCCCTCCCTTGGCACCTTTCTTAGGCCAGCTTTTAACTCAAGGAGATTTCTCATGTGTTAAGACCTGTCCTCTTTAGCAAGCCAGTGGCCACTGTGAGGACACAGGGCTATGTTCTTATCTCTTATGTATCTCTTTACTTGTCTCCCTGCTGGCCCCAGCCTTCCCTAGAGAAGTAGCCCAGCTAGACTGGAGTCAGAGTCATCCTCCTGCCTTGACTGTGGATGAGCACAACATAGATGCTCACTGAGGGTTGGCTGGTATTGTTTGGTCATTGCCAAGGAACTCTCTGGATCTTCTAGATAAAGTGTCCTCAAACTGCGGCCTGCCTAGGACATTTATCCGGCCCACCGGGTGTTTTTGCTGCCACTGCCTGTCCTGCTTAGCAGCCAACTCATCCCGGGGCCCGCAGTTTGGTCCTCCAGTGGTCTGAGGGACAGTGAACTGGCCCCCTGTTTAAAAAGTTTGAGGACCCTTGTTCTAAATGCTAGCTCTGGTCTCAGTGCTGCCTGAAGGAAGAGCAGGTCCTGGTGGAAGAGAAGACAGAATCGGGTGGGCGGCTCTTGATGAAGGAGATAGAAGGCTGTTTTAGTCTAGGGTGAGGGGCATGACCACCAGCTGGGTAAGCAGTCCTGGCCAGGAAGGCCATTGGTATTGCCCACCCTCCTCAAACAGCACTCCCTGGGGCTGAGCAGTGGGGTTTTCTAGGAATGAGGGCACCAAGGGCAGCCAGGGCCATGGGTAGAGAGTGGATGGGGGTGCTGGTTGTCAGACCTCCAGAAGGTTCTCATGCAGGCATGTCTCTGCCACAGGTAAACGGAAAGGAGCTCTCCAAGCTGTCTCAGGAGCAAACTCTGGAGGCCCTGCGCTCCTCCAAGGAGCCCCTGGTGATCCAGGTGCTGAGACGCAGCCCCCGCCTCCGGGGGGACAGCTCCTGCCCTGACCTGCAACTGGTGGACAGTGGCACTCAGACCGACATCACCTTCGAGCATATCATGGCACTGGGCAAGCTGCGCCCACCCACCCCACCCATGGCCATCCTGGAGCCGTACGTCCTCTCTGAGCTGTGAGTCGCCCTCAGGAGGGCCCCGGGCCCTGCCTCCAGAGAGGGCATGCCACTCCAGGCAGCTGTACCCATGCTATCTACAGGCTGCATTGATGCAGCTCTGGGCATGGCAGGAGATCCCAACTCAGCCTGTCCCTCTCAGGCAGAGCACAGGCTCTTTGACCTCCAGAAATGACTGCCACCTGAGGGTTCAGAAAGCTCCAGGCCTGTAGCCTCAGGCTTGGCACCAGCAGTGAAGGGGGCAAGGGAAACTTCCAGGCAAGCTCCAGTTGCCTCTACCCCAGGGCTGAGGGAAGACCTTCCTGGCCTGTGAGTCTAGGCTGTCACTGCTGGAAATGTGGCTCCTTAAGCCACTTGGCTGGCCAGGGCTGAATCCCTCAGCTCCTCTTCCTCCTCCATCATCTGTCCTCTTCTGCCTCATGAGCATCACTCCTTGAATCTTCTTGCATCCCTTGTCTGTCCCATTCCTCTACCTGCTCTGAATTTCCTCCATCTCTTCTGCTTCTTTCTTTGGCCTGCTCAGAAGAAGGGCCTTTCATCCACGCTGGTGGCTCATGACTGCGTGAGCGCTGCCTCAACTGCTAATCTTAGCCTAGGCTGCAGGGAAGTGGTCCTGGGATGTCCCTTCTTTTGCATAGAGGTAGGCCACAGGCCTTGAGCAGCCAACTTTAGCTTTAGGACCCAGAGGTCAGCCCCTGGAGTAGAGTGGGTCTCCCTCTGCTTTGCAGAAGTCCTCCAGGGCCTGGCTAACTCCTGGGGGCGTTGCATGAGTGGGGCCATTGCTGGGCGGTCAGGGCAACAGCCAGTGTGGTCAGAGAGCTCTGGTTTGGGGGACAGAGCTAGGCATGCCTAGGTCTGCAGTGTGACCCGGCATCCTCCCATTTGGGAGCATTCCTGATCTTGGCATGACTGCATGTAGTTCAAGAGAGGGTTCTGGAGAGGCAACCAGCTAGGGTATGAGAGGAGTGGATGGCTGGCCTGACCTCCTCCCCCCTTCTCCTGGGCAGCCCCCTCATCAGTCATGAGTATTATGACCCAGCGGAGTTCATGGAGGGCGGCCCACAGGAGGCAGATCGTATGGACGAACTGGAGTATGAGGTGAGCTGGGCGGCTGGGCCAGGGCCCATAGGCAGCCTTGGGAGCCCGTCCTGGGCAGTTCATGCAGCCCTACTTGGTTCTGGCTCCTGTTGACCTCAGGCAGCCAGGCCTCTTGGCCCTCCCTGTGTGTGCCTGGCTGAGTCAGGGAGGGCACGGGTGAGGTTGTGCATTCGTCCATGTTGGTGAGTCCATGTCCCACACATCTGTGTCCTCTGTGTCCTGTGTATCTGTGCATGTCTCGGGCACTTCCCAATGGGGAGACCATGGAACACACGCACCGTTTGGGATGGTAAGAGAAGCCCTCAAACCTGAGGTAGTTCAGGGGACTTTGGAGATGAGATGCTGTGGGGTCCCTTGCTCATGTGTTTCCTGGGCTTTCTGCCCCTGTGGCAGGAGGTGGAGCTGTACAAAAGCAGCCACCGAGACAAGCTTGGCCTGACGGTGTGCTACCGCACAGACGACGAGGAGGACTTGGGCATCTACATTGGAGAGGTACGAAGGCGGCATTGACATAGGGCCAGGCCCAGGAGAGCCCTCCATGCCACTGTAGTCCTGTGGCCTTTCCACATGGCCCACACAGGACACAGAGGCTTCCCATAGGGTCCCAGCCGTTAGAGATAGGGTATCCATCGCAGGTGCCTGCTGGGGGTTTGCAGAAGGAAACTTGAGCCCAGTGGAGGACAGCAGCCAGGACAGAGGACAAGCCAGCACTAGGTCCTGGACAGGCTTCATTCTTTTCCTACATCCTGTGGCCAGCCACCCGGGGCTCGCAGAGGTCTCCTCCCTGTGTGTCTTGAGCAGGCAACTGTGTACCCCCACAGGAGGAGGGTGGCCCCCAGATGCCCTGCACACTACCAGCATCCCAATGAAGTCGACCTTCCTGATGGCACTGTAATTCAGCCCCAGGACTGACACAAGTAACAGGCTTCTGTGTAGAAGAGCACAAGAGTGCTGGTGGCAGTGGCTAAGGAGAGGTGCCAGCCTGTGGCCTTCTGCTCCTGTGTCCTGGGCACTAAGCTAGAGTGGGAGTAAGAGGAAGCCTTTAGCTAGCTTGGGGTCCCTGGGGTGAGGCTTCCCCTTCCTACTTGAAAGGGCTCCATAGGTGCCAAGTCTCCAAGATGCGTGTGTCCTGCAGGTAAATCCCAACAGCATTGCAGCCAAAGACGGCCGGATCCGCGAGGGAGACCGCATTATCCAGGTGAGGGCTTACAGGCCACAGGCCTGACCCCAGGCTCTGCTGTGCCCAGTGGCCCTGCTGCCTCTCCTCAGCTGTCCCCTAGTGCTCTCCCACTACGCCTTGCCAGATACCAGGTCCCACACCTGGGCCTCTCTCATCTCTCCTGCTTAACCAGCTTTAAGGAGCTTCCATGTGCCTGTGGGATCTGCTGACATCTAGGACCCATGCTGCTTTGGCACTTCCCTAGCTCCCTCATCCCCACCTCATGCTGTCCTGTGAGCACACAAATGCTCTTGCAAAGGCCAGGCCTTTCTCTTCCTGTCATCCTCCACTTAGTTATATCCTCCCAGTGCCCAGCCCTGCTCAGTGTGCCTGGGCTCCCTGCATCCAGCCAGGGCCTGCCCAAGGGCCCTCCTTAGCATCCTTGTTTTGATTGTCTCTGGCCTGTCACAGATTAATGGTGTGGACGTCCAGAACCGGGAAGAGGCGGTGGCCATCCTGAGCCAGGAAGAGAGTACCAACATTTCTCTGCTGGTGGCCCGGCCTGAGAGCCAGGTGTGTGTGCCTGGTAGGGTGACCTGGGGCCTCTGACATTGAGCTTTCTGTCTCCAAAGTTGCTGAGACGAGACTAAGGTATAGATATGGCAGCGGTGTTATTTCTAGCCTCTGATGGCTGAATGGGCCAGGACCTCTTTACCTGGTATTATTCACCATCAGTGAAACCAGGAGACCAAGCATGGGGCTTAGAGAGGGGACCAAAGGGTGTTTGGAGGTCCCTGAAGCTATGGGGACAGTGAAGGCCTTTCTCTGTAGCTTGCAAGGCGGTGGAAGGACAGTGACCGGGATGACTTCCTGGATGACTTTGGCTCTGAGCATGAGGGGGACCTGCTGGCCCAGAAGCTGAACCCACCCCCTGCCCAGCAGGTAAGGAAGGAGAGAGAGAGGAAGGTGGAAGGGGCTGGGGAGGTTTGTGGTCTCTCAGCCTTGGTGGGGAAGTGAACCAGACCTCCTGTGACGACTCTGTGTATGTGGGACCCAACTGAGTGGTGCTTGTCTCTGTCCCAGCTTGGACAGGAAGAGGAGAAGGCAGCTCCTGATGTGGGCCCAGGCCTGAGCAACAGCCAGGAGCTGGACAGTGGGGTAGGCCGCACAGACGAGAGTACCCGAAACGAGGAGAGCTCTGAGCATGACCTGCTGGGGGATGAGCCCCCAAGCAATACCAACACCCCCGGGAGCCTGCGCAAGTTTGGCCTGCAAGGGGATGTGCTGCAGAGCCGCGACTTCCATTTCAGCATGGACTCACTCCTGGCTGAGGGAGCGGGGCTGGGAGGGGGTGATGTCCCTGGCCTCACGGACGAGGAGTATGAGCGCTACCGGGAGCTTCTAGAGATCAAGTGCCACCTGGAGAATGGCAACCAGCTGGGCCTCATCTTCCCTCAGGCCTCTGGTGGCAACAACACCCTGGATGTCAACCGAAATGAGAGCCTGGGCCATGAGATGGCTATGCTAGAGGAGGAGCTTCGTCACCTGGAATTTAAGTGCCGCAACATCCTGCGTGCGCAGAAGATGCAGCAGCTGCGGGAACGCTGCATGAAGGCCTGGCTGCTGGAAGAGGAGAGCCTCTATGACCTAGCAGCCAGTGAGCCCAAGAAGCACGAGCTGTCCGACATCTCCGAGCTGCCCGAGAAGTCAGACAAAGACAGCACCAGCGCCTACAACACGGGAGAGAGCTGCCGCAGCACCCCTTTGCTTGTGGAGCCCTTGCCAGAGAGTCCCCTACGGCGGGTGGCTGCTGGCAACTCCAACTTGAACCAGACCCCTCCTGGCCCTGCTGCTATTGTGCCACCCAGGGCAGGTCCGCCACAGGGCAGCCCCGCTAAGTTCCGATCCCTGTCTCGGGAATCTGAAGCCTCACCCCGGAGACAGCACGTAGAGGAGCGTGTCCGCCGCAACCCCAAGGCTGCTGCAGTGGCTCTAGAGCACATGGGCCCTGAAGGCAGCCCTTACCTCTCGCGGCGCCACCGTGGCCAGGGCCAGGAGAGCCAGCACTACCATAGCTGCATGCAGCTAGCCCCCCCACGAGGTCTGGAGGAGCTAGGCCATGGCCCCCTGAGTTTGGCTAGTGGCCCTCAGGTGAGTGGGGTTGCGGCGTCCGAGGCGCCCCGCATGGAGTGGAAAGTGAAGGTGCGCAGCGACGGGACCCGCTATGTAGCTAAGCGGCCCGTGCGGGATCGCCTTCTGAAAGCCCGTGCCCTGAAGATCCGGGAAGAGCGCAGTGGCATGACCACGGATGACGATGCAGTGAGTGAGATGAAGATGGGCCGCTACTGGAGCAAGGAGGAGCGCAAGCAGCATCTGATCCGGGCCCGGGAGCAGCGGAAGCGGCGTGAGTTCATGATGCAGAGCCGGCTGGAATGTCTGCGGGAGCAACAGAACAGTGACAGCAAGCCTGAGCTCAACATCATTGCTCTGAGCCACCGCAAAACCATGAAGAAGCGGAACAAGAAGATCCTGGACAACTGGATCACCATCCAGGAGATGCTGGCCCACGGTGCACGCTCAGCCGATGGCAAGCGGGTCTACAACCCCCTGCTCTCGGTCACCACCGTGTAAGCCACCCTGGCAGAGCCTGGCCTCGGTCCTCCTGGGCTCAGGCCCTCACTCTCCTTAAAATCGAGTGTGTTCCTGTGTATATGTGTGTGCGCACGTGGCTTTGTTAGCAAAGAGAAGCCTCTGAGCAGAAAGGACACTTTTCTTGCATCACCTGCTTCCATCTCCCCAAAGTGACTGTGTTGGTGGCCATCATTTGGGGCACATCTGTACCAGGCACCCCTTCAGCTGTGTGTGTGTGTGGCCATGTGCATACATCTCACACACACACAGCTCTCTTGACCCCGTGTACTTGGAGACGGGGAGCTCGAGCTACACTGGGGAGGTGAGGAAGACTGGCTATCCTGAGCACAAGAGAATGGCTTAGCTGCTAAGCATGGCTTCTCCCTGCTGCAGTTTACTTCTAGACAAAGGCAACCCTGATTTTTGTGGTTTTTCCCCCTTCTGTGCTTGCAAATAGTTGTTTTTCTGTTTTGTGGACCTGCTCTGGGGGTTGGCAGCTCCTTCAGGCAGCCTGACAAAGGTGGAACCTCCCTCCAGTGATGGCTGGGAAGGAGGTAGGGAGAGGAGGAGAGGGAGGGATGAGGGTGGGAGGGAAGGGGGGGGGAAGGTGGAGGAATGGGGAGCAGCTGTCCTAGTGGCCTCTACTCTGAGGTCCATCCCCAGTGATTGAGGGAGAGCACGACTGCAGGGGTTGAGGGCGCAGTGTCCATCCAAGAAGTCACAGCCTGGGTCTGTGCGTGATGCTCTCTGGAGTGAGGGCTTCAGCAGCAAGGGTCTAGAAGCCTAGCCCCACGAATAGCAGTGGAAGAGCTCAGGTCTAGCCCTGGAAGACTTGCTGGTGACCTCAGCCTAAGCCCCAGTGAGAGGCAGTGGGCTGACCCAGGGATATTGACCCAACCCACTCAAGTACCACATGGGTGAACCAGGCTGCCCTTGGCTGCCTCTTAGGCTTGGAGAGCACCTGCTCCTGCCCTTGTCTTGAGAATAAAGCAAGCTGCCTTTTTACTTGGTTGAATCAGGCCTCTCTGTGTTCCTTCTCACCCCCTGCTGTGAGGGATGGGGATGGGGATGGAGGCAGGCAGGGCCAGAGCCCATTTAAAGCCATCCTCTAGGCTCGGCGCCTATAGCTCAACCAGCTAAGGCGCCAGCCACGTACACCTAAGGTGGCGGGTTCAAATCCCCAGCCCGGACCTGCCAAACAACAATGACGGCTGCAACCAAAAAATAGCCCGGCGTTGTGGCGGGCGCCTGTGGTCCCAGCTACTTGGGAGGCGGAGGCAGGAGACTCGCTTGAGCCCAGGAGTTGGAGGTTGCTGTGAGCTGTGATGCCACGGTACTCTACCCAGGGGGACAGCTGGAGGCTCTGTCTCAAAAAAAAAAAAAAAAAGCCATCCTCTAGCCTGCTTGGCTTGTCACTGAACAGTCAAGTGTGGGAGGTGTGGCACATTCAAGGGGTTGTGACCAGATGCAAAAGGATTGCAGAAGTCTGACTTCAGACTAGGTCATGCTCACCTTCACAGAGCGGCTGCTGGCATGTGCATGAGGGAGGCTGCATCCAGCTTCTGTTATCTATCCATGGGACCACACCTAAATGGAGCTACAAGCTTCTGGAGGGCAGAAGTCACTCATTTGGGGGGTCTTGTAGTGCCCAACAAGGTGCCAAGTGCGTAGACAGCACCAGGTAAATGTGTTTTGGCCAGTTGAATGCAAGGTGGCTGCAAGGGCCCTTCTGTCTCGGGAACTCACAGTTCCAGCCAGCACAGCCAGCCACCTGGCATCTCCCAGTATGGAGTCACAGGGACAGCTCCAGGAGCAGTATATTGCTGCCTGCTGTAAAGTCCTCTTGAGATAACACACAAGCCTGGAGATCTGGGCAGCAAGTCAGTGACAGAGATAAAGGGAGTGAGAGAAATGCCAGTGCCTGTTTCCAGAAGCCTGGAGCCCCACTGCTGAGAAAGCTGGGCCACAGGCTGCAGGTCACATGGCCAAGCTGGGAAGGGAAGCAGGGGCAGGGCCCAGAGATGCGGCCTCTGTCACCCCTCAGGGCCTCTCCAGCAGAGGGTTTGGTATACTCAACTCTTGTGACCAGCCCCCTGCTTTTGCCCCTTGGGAGGAAGATGAGGCTCCAGAGGCCTGGCCTGTGCCACAGAAAACTGGCTGGAGTGACCAGTGGCCAAGGCAAACTACTCCCTTGGCCGCCACCTCTAGCTGTGGAGGAGCTCACTCTGATAGCTCTAGAGAGACACCATACTTCCTCTGGTGGGGTGCCCTCCAGTGCTTACATGATGCAGGTCAAGACCGGACCAGAGCTTGGAATGCCCTGGCTGCCTCAGGAAGAAGTGGCACTAAGTAGGCTGGCAACACTTGGCCGCTTACGGCTGGGAATGATGACTTCACATTCAGACCCTACTGCCATTGGGTTGGGTGGTGGAACAGAACAAAAAGAACTGGGCAATAGATAGCTGCTGCTGTGCCCACTCCACCCTGCTGTTGGCAGAATACTGGGAACAGCCATTTGCACCTTTGCCAGAGATGGGAGCAGGTATTGTTCCCAGTGCTGGTCCTCATCTCTGGAATCCAGAAACTCCCAGTTGTCAAAGCTTGGCCTGGTCCTCTGTACTTCTGGCCCCAACACTCCTAGGAGACTCTTCATGCCCCTATAGACTGGCCACAAGCCACCCTCAGTTTCAAGCTGCCACTGCATGCTGGCAGAGCCCAGGTAGTGAGGAGCCCCTCCTCTCCTAGGTGGGTTTTGGGCCTTCCCTCCTTTTTCAGTACAGCCTCTGAGGGGTTCTGCTTCTCTCCAGTAACAGCCAATGGTGAGATCACGTAGATGCCTAGAGACTTTGCCAGCTGGTCCCACAATGACCCTTCACAGGCACCTTGGAGTAGACATTGTCACCATGTCACAGCTGAAAAGGGCTCACCTGGGATTTGTACCCAGCCTTTTTGTACCCCAGGACCTTTACTACCTCACCAGGTATGGAAGGCACTAAGGAACACCATTTAGCTAGCCAGTGACCAGCATGCACCAGACCTGTGAAGTGGGCTAGCAGGTGGAATTTCAGCAAGGATTCCTGCCCAGTGCCCTGAGAGAGCCAATGCTCTTTGGAGGAGAAACAGCTCCTTAGAGGTGTGAGGATATTTTTCTTTTTTTTTTTTTGAGACAGAGCCTCAAGCTGTCCCCCTGGGTAGAGTGCCATGGTTTCACTGCCCACAGCAACCTCCAACTCCTGGGTTCAAGCAAGTCTCCTGCCTCAGCCTCCCAAGTAGCTGGGACCACAGGCGCCCACCACAATGCTGGGCTATTTTTTGGTTGCAGCCATCATTGTTGTTTGGCGGGCCTGGGCTGGATTCGAACCCGCCACCTTAAGTGTATGTGGCTGGTGCCTTAGCCACTAGAGCCACAGGCACTGAGCCAGGATATTTTTCTAATCTGGAAATAAAGGCACCCTGCGGTCCCCTCTGGACAGCTGTGTGCTGCAGGTGGCTGGCACACATGCCAGCTATGACCACATCAGCAAGATGGGGTCACTCACTGTGCTCACTAAACAAAGCATGGGGAGTGCTTCAGTGTGTGGCTCATGCCCAGAGTTCCAAATGCAGGAGCCATTTGTGAAGACAGGCTGGCTTGTCTCGACGTGTGACCATGGTGCTAACTACCTGGACTTGGGGAAAGTTGAGAAGGGCCTTTGCTTTCTCTGGCCAGGCCAGATGGCTATTCCCAATGGCAGGTGTGGCAGAGGAGCCCTCCCTCTTGCTCTCCAGCCCAAGGAAGGAGAGAACAAGGCAGAGTCTTCTTTGCCAGATGAGGTCATGTGCTGGGCAGGAAGGGGACAACCTCCATTCCCTCACCCCTAAACCATGCAAGCAACCAATCAGGACAATGAGACAGGGAAAGTGGACATAGGACACTATGGGGACTAGGCAAGAAAGGCTTCACTGGGGGAGGGATTGAAGCCAGCCTCTTTCCCACTCAGTGACTCCTTGTCTATCTGGGCAGACAAAGGGATGCTAGGCCCCAGCACATAAGCCAGGAGGAACCCAGTGTCCTGAATGTACTCCTGACAGCCAGCAACCGTTTATTAAAGGAAGCAAGGGAGGGCTGAGGACACACTGTCAGGCCTGGATGTGACTCTTTGCACTGAAGGCTAGGTAGTAGATCACAAGGCCAATTGCTGCGGCCAGCACCTCAGTGGAGACCCATGGTCCGTTCCAGGTACCCTGCAAGAAAGGAGAGCAAAAGCCAGCTCAGCAGAGAACAGGTGGACTGGCCAGCCTCAGTCACCCTCCATCAGGGGGACAAAGACATGCTGGCTAATCACAGCCCAGCAGCTGAGGCTGGGGTTGCAGACGTGATAAGAACTTTCATTCAGCCCTGACCCTCCAAAAAAGGAAGAGGTGTGCCATAGCTCCCAATTTCCCTGGGACCAGGCAACTCACCCGATGGTCCACACTGACTGTGAAAAGGGGTGAGATGATTGAAATGTCCTCGTTATTTCTCTGAGCCTGGAAGGGAGGTGCGGGGGTCAGATAGTGCCAGATGGGCTACCTGGGTGGGGTGGGGTGGGCTATGAGAGGAAGGAACGTTGCCTAAGACCCAAAAGAGAAGAGAAATAGACAGGAGCCACATGAGGAAGGGCCAGGTGGGCCAGGAGCACAGAAAGGTGCCCATCTGACTCAGGACTTGCCACCTGGCCAGCCTGCTCTGCATAAGCAGACCCTCCAGTACAGTAGAGCAAAGCTCTAGGGAGAAGGGACCACAGGAGGAGCAGACTAGAGAATGCTGCAGAAACAGGGCATGCCCTTCCTCCTTTCAGTCTTGGGAGGGCTCTGGGCCACACTCACCTTCCTAAGGAGGCTGTAGGACTCCTCATCAAAGAATCTGACTTCGTATGTACCCGCGTGGGCATTCTTGTGTTCCAGACTCCAGGACACCTGGGTTGGGTGTGTTTGACAGGAGGTGGGCAGAGTGGACACATGAGGAGATTCCCTGCTAGTGCTGACACAGCACTGCCCTTGAGCCCATGAGCCCTGGGCCAGACTGGGCTACCCCTAGGGCTTCAAGTCAGGTCCATGAACAGGCGGCCTCCCTCAACAACCTTGAACTCAGCACCCTTACCTGATAACGCCCCACGTCCTGGCCACGGGTGACAGGGAATTGTTTTCCCCCAACATCAGCATAAAGAGCCATGTTCTGGGTGAAGAGACAAAGGGAGAGTCACCTCTTCTCAAAATGGGCAGAGAGGGAGGCCAGGCCCAGTGGGGGGCTGCAGCTTGTCTGGTAGGAGGCACCATGTAAGGCCTGGAACCACCCAGAGCCATCTAGGAAACCAATTGTCACTGTCTCTTCATGTCTGTCTTCCCTGAAGGAGGAGAGGTCAGAACCCCTCCATGTCCCAGGCTAACTTAACCCACAATGAGCCTATTAACAGTGAAGAAGAGTGGGATATTCAAAATGTCCTTGTTATTTCTCTGAAGGGAGGTACCAGGGTCAAGGAGTGCCAAATAGGCATGGGCTGCCCAAGGGATATTTCAACTAAGGAGTATTGTACAGAAAAATGTGTGACTTCCTGCTTTGGACTTTTGCAAATGCAGGTCAGAGGCTGAGACCAGGCATACTCAATCTTGAACATCCAAACATTATATGGATGGAGCTGGAACATATCCTACTTAGTAAAGTATCTTAAGAATGGAGGGGGGCTCGGCGCCTATAGCTCAACCGGCTAAGGCGCCAGCCACGTACA